CAACAGTGGGCTTTAGCTCATCCAAACCAGAGCAGGAAGCCAAAACTGACAAGCTGGATGAGTGCGACCCCGCAGAGACAGCCTCTCCTCAAGACAAGAGTCAAAATGGTGGCCACAACTCATGCAGTCCTGGTTGGTAGCGTCCTCTTCGGGGCTGATGAAGAGTCGGGCCTGCTGGGGCCATGGAGACAGAGGCCTCCCAGTATCTGCACGTCTCTGTTTTCTGTGTATGAATGTCCTTAAATAACCCACCTTGCCTGGGGAAGAAAGCGAAGTGTCACACCCAGTTCTGGATTCCACATTAACAGCCTCCTTCCGCAGTGTTCAACTTTGCCCTTGAGGCCTTTTGTTTAACTTTTTAATCTGAAAAACAGATTCTGCTGCGTCACAATCTGTACCACCCTCCCCATCCCCACCCCCTGCACCCTCTCTTTTTTTGGTTAAAGTAAAATAGAGCTATCTCAAACAGACTTGTATTTCCTTTTGTTGTTCAAATATACATCCTGCCCTCTTAGTGAGAAGAGTATATAAAAGACCCTTTAAAAAAAAGAAAAAACTTGTTATTCACATTAGAACATTTGTTGTTGACGAAGGAGTCTAGTCTTCGTCGACCATGTCTTGGGGCCACCTCATGACCAAATTTTGGGAAAAGAGTTTCCTAATTGCTCTCTGTGGGGCGTAAGAAAGGAAAGAGCCTGGCACTGTCAAAGGTGCCTACTGCCATCCCAGCCTTCCTGTTTAGGATGCAGCCGGATGGATATTGTTTATGGTTCATAAAACCTGACTACTGTGAGGATTCCAGAATCCCAGCAGAATGGGATTCGAACTTTCATGGAGCTGTAAATTAAGGGGCGGGAAGTGTGATAAAACTCCTTAGAGAACGGTGAAAAAAAAATTTCGCGCTGCAATGGTTAAATGAAATTTTATAAGCACATTCAGTGTGGAGCTGTTTTGCATTACATGAGTTGAATACCTTAGAGACGCCACATCTGCAGGCACTTTATTAAATCCTTAGTCAGCACTTTCCAACCTGATGAGATTACTTCTTCATTTGACTGGAGAAAAGGAAAGCTGAGCTCTGGTCCTGGACTGCAGGTTTCTTTTGATGTTTCACCTTGAACACTGAAAGAGGACAATTACCACCCCTCGCCGCTCCCCCCGCCTTCCCCGGCACATCCCAAACTGTAGAAATTGTGAATGTAACGGAGTAATTTTACTGAACTGGAGCCTCTGTGGGAGTGTGGATTTATGGACCTCCAAAACAACTATAGCTGAAAGTCCCTGAGGAAAAAAATAGATCAAAGCTCTGTGTTTACTTCCTTAATGTAAATGTATCAAGATAACATCGTCCTATATTGTATTGTAATATTGGAACTCTCTGCAGATAAGGGACAGAGATTCCTTTGTAGTCCATCTGGATGCAGTAGGTTAGATTAAGGGGTTATAAAGTATGAAGGCAGAAACCATATGAAATGGAAGTTTGTGTCAGTAAATGTCTGAAGACAATTTTTTGACTCTCCATAAATGAATTTTGTTTGGTGTGGCACCATTTTCCCAGTGATTTGCTACTCAGCCCCAACAATTTAACAACCTCAGGATTGTTTTTATATTTCTCTTGTATGACCCAAGGAAAAAAAAATGCTCAGAGTCATTCTTCAAGTCATGTTTTGAAACTAGCACTGCTTGCATAATAGATTTTCTAAGAAAACATCACAAGAGAAAAGTAGGCTTTTCCAAACACTGTCTTGTCCATTTGATGTTATTAGTAGTTCATGGAAGTTTCTAGAAATCGAGTGGCATATACATGTGCAACTATCACATTCATCATAAAGAAATTAGGAGCGTCTTCAGCTACAAACCGATCATGAGAAAATAATTCGGTGAAATGGATGTTTTTTTATTATTCTTACTATAACTGTTTATCTGCCATCTCGGCCCCCCCCAAAAAAAATCAAAGAGACCTCATTCCCCCCCAAAAAAATCCTCAAAAAACAAATTCCCTGTGTGGTTCCCCTAACGGATTGACTTCCCATTGTGGGGGGAGGGGAGTGGGGGAGCCTTGGTCAAGTAGCTGGGTTAATTGTCATGAAGATTAGTGTGATGTTGAAATAAGTACTAATGGTCAAATTACAGGAGTGAAAAAGTTTAAGAATAGGTTTTGGTTTGGGCCTGAAAGGGTTAATTAAGTTTTTTTCACGGGTTATTAAAGACCCCCAACCCATGCCTTCAGGAGTCATATTGACACCACACCACAGGGCAACTCGCTTCTCTATTGACATGTTGCTGGTCAGAGCACAATAGCCTTCTGTGTCTGAAAATCATTGCTAAAATCATCTCAAGGAAAAAAAAAAGTTTGAAAGCTCTAACGGTAGACAAAAGCCCAAGAGCTGCAGTGCGCAGCTCAAAAACCCGGAGTCAGCAACTTCTATTGATTAAAAACTAACCTTTAAAGTAACTCTGAGAGTGTGTGGTTAGCATTTAAATTTAAACATGTCATGAGTTGATTTGTGTTACTGAATACCAACTCAGAAGGAGTAACATTCACATCGCATTTTTTTTTCTAATTCCCTTAAGCAGCTAAAGTATTTCATGAAATGTCAATAGGGCAAAAAGAAAAAGTTGGGGGGGGGGCATTGCTAGGCCTTGTAGTTTTCTTTCCCATGCAAATATTCACCCCCCCAAAAGAAAAGTGTGGAGAGTGAAACACAATAATTAGTCCTTTGTCTAACTTTCCCAAGTGCCAGAGAAAGACAGATTAATTAAATATACAACAGTGTTGGTTTTTGGAGTGGGGGTCTTGCTTGCTGTGTAGGTCATAAATTAGGCAGAATAAATACTTCAATGTGTTTGCAGTGGGCCTGCTACGTCAGAGCCACTGGAAGGTTGGTGGGAGGAGAGCGGAGGGTTTCTTGCTAATGATAGTCACGTCTGGGTCTGTCTGGTTGCTCTTAGCAACCAGACATGATGTAACACCAGGATGAACTTGAACTTGGGGGACTTGAAAAGAGAACAATAGACCAGAGCAATCAATAAAGCCTATTTCAGTGAAGGATTACAGAGCTGCTCTGGGGTAACCTTGTCGGCAAGGCTTTTTTTTTTTTTTTTTTTGTGTGAAGAAACTTTTTTTTTTTTTTTTTTTGCTTTGCTTTTTAAGAGAAGTGCAGAGCCACTGCAGATTTTTGTTGCGCTGAGGTTGTGTCCAGAAACTGTGGTATGGAAAACTGCTCCCCCTGCTGACTCACTGGGTCCCCGGTGTTTGCTTCGAGAACTACTATGCAGCGTCAAATTGAAGAAGGCTGGAATTTCACAACTGACTTAGAAAGTGTGAGAACAGAAATCCTGTAAGCATTATTCGCCGCACCCAAACTTGGAGACTGTTTTGTGAGCGAGAGAGCGCGGCTGTGGCACGCACGGATCCGTCAGCTAGGAGGAGAGGCCTACTGGAAATACAGTTCGGGCCTTGCCTCCCCTCTCCTTTCTTTCCCCCTCTCCTTCCTTTTGTCCAGTTAGATGTAGGCCGTGTGTCTTTGCCAGGATGATTTCCTTTCGGGACACAAGAGGCTTTATTGTGTTCTCAGAGCATGTGGTCAAAGAGGAACATCTAAAAGTACACAGGATGAGTAGTTTTTCGGGTTAGGCTTGGGTTTTTCAAGTCCTCTGGAAATCAAAGGTAGCTTGTGTGACCAGGAAATCTCATACCTGGTAGCTATCCACGGAACTATCATTTCGCCGTTCACCCCTGGGATCAGAGGCCGTCCTTTACCTAATTGAATCTCTTGGGCACCGATGAGCCTTCGTCTGACTGAATCCACTCGAATGTACCCCTTTCTGATACTGCCAACTCAGAGATTTCAGAGACATTCACTTTTGCTAAAAGTTGACAATTTTTCTGTGAATGATGATGAATGTGGTGAATTTGGCACAGTATCTCTAGGGAAAAGTTGGCAAAAGCCAAACAATTCTCTATTTCACTTAGAAACAACTTTGATAGTACACCATAACTGGCCACTTTGTTTAGGTAGCAGAGAAAACAATGCTGGCATATAAAGTGATGATTCACTAGACTGTTGTCCAAAGCCAATCACCTAAGGATTTTTGAAAGGAAAAGGTAACTGGTAGCTGGGCCCAGCAGGCATATGGAAGGCTTCCTAAATAAGTGCTGAACGAACAAAAACAAGAGCAGGGGCTATGCAATGGCCTCATTTTTGTTCTTTGGACATCATGGCAGCTAATAGGGTGAAACCTTGATCACATTGGATTATTGTGTGTCATTTTTGAAAAATTATCTTAGAAATACTGAGCCAAAAGGAGCATTTTACCTCATAAAATCTACCTCGGGCACGCATAAAGGAAACTGGGTATCAAAGAGGTGCTGTGATTTGCCCAAATCACACAGGACTCTTCATGCAGCCCCTTTTTCTGCTTCCCCCCCCCACTTATTTTTATGTCACTGTTGATCATCCGCGCCCATTCAAAGAATGTCACAGCACCGTCTTTAGGGCCTCCATCTCATTGAAAAGGAGATGTGAAAATCATCCAAGTAGACATTGATCAGCACACGAAACCTCTTCCCTCACCCATTATCTGTTCGTTCAACACTTGTTTGTTGAGAACCTTCTACTGCAGGCACTGTGCTAGGACTGAGGACTCAGTGACAAGATGATCAAGCTTCTTGCCCTCCTGTAGCTGCCCCTGCCAGACTGCAAAACCCATATATGTATTTCAAGTGGACACAAACACTTTATTTTTGAGACATACTCAGAACGTTGGCAAACCCCAGTGAAGACACTGAGTTTCAACTTCAGAGGAATAAGTTCAACTTCAGTGACTCAAGATTTACTACTGTCTGTCATTCCTCTCTTCCATTCCCAGAAAATCCTCCCCTCCCACCCCACTTCATTCCTAATAGAGATCCCAATTTCATGGTCGGAAGGGCAACTTCTAAAATATGTTACTTTCCAAACTGTACCTCTAATCGCTCTTTTCCTTTTGTCTTCCAGTCCTGGTACCTGGGATAAAAGTCACGGCGTCCCACCACCCACCAGACAGACCACCTGACCCCTTCTCAACTCTGTAACATGGACGCATCCTCAACACAGCGCGGTTACAACTTCACTGTCAGTGGAAGGGGAGAATCCAATCAACTTGTACATGGAAACAGCGAGCATTATGGTCAAACAGCAAAGGCCATAACCTTTTGGGATTTTTTTTTTAAATACTTTAGGGACTGTTGTAATTTTCTCATATGGTGCTGGAAATGGTTGGGCTTTGTAACATTGGGAGTGTTTCCGTGGTAGCGTGAGCATTAGGTGATGTGGCTAGTGGAGGTCTACCCTTGCTCACTGACTTCCCGTTGTAACACACTTTCCTTATGGAGCCTGGCTGTTTCACAGTATTTCATGAATTTACCCACACAGGTGTGAGCCTCCTTGAGTCATCAGGAGGCGCATAGAGAACGAAATCTTTTGTAGTAGCTGAGATCTGCAATATATAACTTACGGGACAGTCAAAGGGCAATGTTTTTCTGTAACATATTGGAAAAAGAAAATGCAGTTATGTTCCTTTTTTATTTTTTCTTTTGGTTTGGTTTGGTTCAGCAGTCAGCAGTTAAATATATAACATGGCCCACAAGGACAGTGAATCCACTCACGTTGCAGAACAATTCCGAAATGACAAACTACTACTACTACTATTCAGTTTTTTAAAAGTTGTGAAATGCTGCACTTACATTTAAAAAAAAAAAAAAAACATTTTTTCAACAATTTCAACAATGACACACAAATTCACATGGAAATGGGGAAGATGGTCTGTTTTGACAGAAACTGACAGGAATCAATCAAAACAATCGAATTTTGAAATGAGTAAAGTGCAATTTCATTGGATAGCTAAATATCTTTGTAAGATAGAGATTGTTGAAAATTCTATTTTTGTTTTTCAAGTCCTTCCACCCCAGGACTCTAAATTATCGGGGTAAAAAACAGCCTTGCAAGAAAAAGGGGAGCTATTTTTGCTTTTTATGTTTTTTATTGTTAAACTTGTATCCCTTTAAAAAAAGAAGGAAAATTAAAAAAAAAAAACAAAAAAACAAATCTAATGGTGCTTTTACCACGATATGTTAACTACATTAAATGCTAATTAATTATTTTCTGTTATCAAAGCACATAACTAAAATGAAATCATGGTATCTGTTAATTTTATAAGCTAGAAGTCACTATAATGGATTATGCCAATTCTGAAAATTTTTATGTGTATCCAGCAACATAGGATTTATCAGTTATCAGACACTTCATTGTACCAGAGATTGTCCAGAACTTTTCAAGACCTTTGCGCTCCTGAACTGGGCTATGGGAAAAAAAAAATAATAATAATAATGAAACCAATACGGACATAAATGCTGGTGCCCATTCAGATCAAGGGGACCTGTTAGGGAAAAAAAAAAAGTTTGCACCCCCAAATGTCCTGTATCTTATGTAAAAAAAATACACACACAAAAAAAAACAAAAAAAGTAACAAAAAAAAGTGCAAGTGATTTTTCTACCAGACAGCGAAGCACCCCTTTGCTTCCCATGCAACTTCAAGAAGGTTTCCTATACTATACATATATATACGTTCTGGTTGGCAAGCCCTGCTGATCAGAGAAAGTCTCTGCATGTTCTAGTGTTAGTAACTAATTTTTATATAGTTAATGTAGGATAAAGTAGAGTGCATTAAGACACAATATTGTAATCCCTACTCTAGGCACTTGCCTTTAAACTATGTTTTTCAGCCCTTCAGAAGGGTTCTACTACTGTCCTATACAATCAAGTAACTGAAATTCTTGGGAAGACACTTTGCTCCTCATCTTTCCCCCCTGAAACAATGTTGTTTTGTTTTGTTTTTTTTCCTTAATTTGCACGAAAACAAAAATTCCATATCAATGTGCCTTGCCCTGGATAGCGATTATTTGTGGAATTGTTGCACATGCTCCTCTATTGAAAGGGGTTTTTCCCTCGTCAAGCATTTGGAGACACTTTTTGTAAATGTGACTTTTATGTCAGCCATCGTCAGTTTCAACATCTAGAACTAAATAGAGAGTTAGTTGTTCCGCAGATAGGAGTAGTCTTTATTGTCCTCTGTGGTCAGTGGCAGTGCTATTCTGAGATCTGTAGATGGCTTTAGAATATCAGTATTTTGGATGTTGCTGCATTTTACAATTTATTTGGAGTCTTCCTTTATTCCCCCCCCAGATATATGAAAATATGCAATACCTGCTTATATCGTGTAGAAAAGCTTAGCGATTATTAATTTTTCTTTTATTTTTTTTTATTTGACCAAAGTCGGTGCTGCACTTGACGCAGTGTGTTTTAGGTGTTTGTCTTTGTACTTTTTTTTGTGAGTTTTGAATGCACGTGCGCAGGAAGGGCTCCTCTTAGAGAAGCAGTCAAACTGTGAAGCACTAAGCTGACCCTGCTTCAAGCAATTTTGTTTTTACAACTGTTCCTTTCACAAGCAAGCCTTAAAAAAAAAAAAAGACAACTTCCTTTTTCTTCAGCTCCCACACCCCATTTTTCTTAGCAGACTGCAGTCAATCCACATTCAATAAAAAGTATATAATGCCCATTTTTATATGCACGTTTTTAAACTTCCAAGTTCTGAAAATTGTTTACTGGTTATCTCTATTTAAGGAAAAAAAAATAAAATAAAACATTTTGGATTTTCATATGTGTCTGATAAGTGGTTGAATAGTCGTTTGGCGCTGTTGTATGGTGTGATTGTCAGTATATGGTGTCACTTCCTATAGCCAGCCAGCATACTTTGCCTTCCCCTATAGCACTTAGCTAAAAAAAACTTTATTAAAAAAAAAGTGCACTAAAAAAAGAAAAAAGAAAAAAAAAGAAAAAAATAGCAGCTTTCAGTGCTTCACAGTGAAGGGAAAAAAGCCTAGACAAACATTTTGTCAGAACCTTGCGATAAGCCAAGGTATTACCAGTAAATTGGTTGTATATACAATAAAATTGCACCCTTTTTTTAAAACAAAACAAACTAAGCAATAGTTTGGGCAGTTTTAGTTGTTTTTAGTGAGCATGTTGTAGTCATGACTGCAAAGAGAGAGAATAAACTGCCCACTCAGAAGATATGTAATTTGTATTGTTGTATAGTTTTATTGATTACACTGATTTATTCTACCCTATTTTATAATGCAGGACTTTTGTAATGTTGTTTAAATGAGGAAAAATTTCTGTCAAATTAGCCTAGTGAAATTTCTGATTGTCCATTATAAAGGCAGCGTTCATAGAATTGCTTTTCTTTCTTTCCCGCCCCCCCCTCTTTGGGAACTGGATTTAAGTTTAAAACTTTCCTGTTTCCTTTTTTTTTTTTTGTAAGTATTTAAATACAGTTATTTTTTTTCTCTCAATGGTATAGCATATTCCTATGCTTGAGAAGTATAGGTCTACTGAAAAACCATTGTAAATGGACGTTACAGGTATGCTGTATTTTTGAAGGTATTTTGTTGTATTAAGTTTGATGAAGCTAAAATTAGGGAACTCTGAACAGATTTGCAGGAAAAAAAATGTTTTAAAGGCTTTAAAACATTAAGGAGGCAGTCTAGGGTGATAACGAACAGGGGTTAAGTATTAAATACACTAAGTTACATTTTTGTTCATGTTTCATTGTCCAGAAAGCAGCAGGAAACTGTAGTTCAGTTGTGATCAAGCAGGAAAAAAGAAACACCAACAATCCGAGTGTTTACCTTTTTAGATGAAAGCCAAGCGAAGATGTTTGAAGAAGACTTTGCTACCTGGGGTGTATAGACTGACAGGCTGAGGGCTGGCCGAATTTAAAGGCCCCGCCCTTGATTCTGAGACACATTGGAATTTTTTCTCTCCCATCAAATGGCATTAACAATATTGGCAAAGAGAAGTCCCTCAAATCACTCTCCATGTTTTTTTCTTTGGGAACTGAAGTCAGAGGCACAAACACTAAATCTAATCATTTTTCTATAGCCTTTATTTTTCCTGACCCATCCCCCTGCCATTAAAATGCTCTTTTTCTGATCATTCATGGGCAGAGGCCCTCCCCCTAATGACACTCTCTCCATCCCAGAGCCTTTTACTTTCCTCTGAGGTTCAAGCGAACTTTTCTAGAAGTTTCTTCACACCCTGGCATGGCAGTTATTGGTGTCAGCCCCTCCGCATCCCCACCCCGCAGTCAGGCGTGGGCACCCCTCCCCCGCAAGCCGACAGGTGCACTCCCCCACGCTTGCGGTCCTCATTCTCTGACAGTCGAAGTGTAAGGGAACCCAAATTTTCCAGAGTCACGGTGTTCAGTCAGCCCACAGGAATATGCAAAACCCATCTCAAAAAGTTTTTTACTTTTCAAACCCTTGTCCCCATAAACTTTAAATTTTGTCATACAGTATTTATGAAATCTGGATTAAGAAAAACATTTTTTTCCTTGTGATTTTTTTTTGGGGGGGGGAGAGGGATTTCTAGGAATGTCATTCAATGTACTTTGCATCATGTCTCTGGATATATCTTTTTGTCCATAGTGGTGGTGGTCTCTCTCTCTCTCTCTCTCTGTCTCTCCCCATCTTTCTTTCTCTCTTTCCTTTCTTTCAGTGTTTCTTCCGCCCCCCCCCATTAGCAGGCCTCCATAGAACAAATTTAAAACACAACTGGCATGGTAATGTAAGGAGAGCTTCAGTGGCACCGCACCACCCACCCTCCGAGATCTGTCCTCGGACGGTCTCAGAAAGCTGACTGCCCACCGGCAGGGCTTTCATTCCAGCCGGCTTCCAAGGCCAGCTTCGTCCCGAAGTCAATGCATGTATTTACTGTTTGACAGTAAACCCGCTCTGCCTTCTCCACGTCCAAGGCTGTGCATTTGCCTAATGAGTGTCGTGTATGTGTTCCTTTTATTTTTTCCAATAAAAAAGCAGTGGGATGAAAATTGCTTTGATAGATAGCAGGTAACATTGAAGCTATTCCATAGCACTTAACTGTAGTGAATACTGTGTCACCAATTCTGAAATCAATTTAATGTTTAATGCAAATCCATTACATGGTGCTATTACAGGCTGACAAAATGATTTACACCAATGTGACAACTTGGGCTCAATTCACTCTGCTTTCCAACAGTGTAAATGCATAGCAGTGTTTATCTGCATGAGAACTATGCACTAATCTATCTGAAGAAAAAAAAAAACTATATCAACTTTGGTATCTACTTTCCGTTTACTTCAATCCTTGCCTTTTTGGTCATTGTTATAATGCCAGCTTTAGGACAGAAAGAATTATAAGAAAACCAGCATAATACCTGATATATTAAAATGTAGTGCCTGTGAAATCTGTATTATATTGCTCTTCTGAAGTAAGATTTTTCTACACCGGTAGCCTTCGCTGTCAGTCAGGACCTTCTGGTATAGGTGATGTAAAATAACCGTACAATATTAATGCATGCTATTCCATAATGCTTAGTGAACTGTATGAATATTACTCAAAGTTATGTTAGTCCTTTTTTTCTGACTTGGTTCTTGTCAGCTAGGTTTAAAGGTATTTCACTGAGAACGCAAATTCTGTCTTTCTTGATTTCGGCTGTTTTCAGTATTTTGGAGGTATACATTTACTTAAATTCAGTATTACTTGTGTTTTTGTTTTTGTTTTTGTTTTTTGTTTTTGTTTTTGTTTTCCTTCTCCTAGGGGACAAGCATGGGTGGTTGATTTCAGAAATCAGTCCCTGGCAAGACTTTTGTCTCAAAACAACCGCTTGTGTTTCAAGAACTGTGCTACAAAGACACTCTGAGAACATTTCCAAGCGAGGGACATTTTCCTTGACCCTCGGCTGAAGCTATGCTGACCCTGAAGCGTTTTCTTGATGGACAATGTTCAGCCAGGTACCCATGCTTGATCCGAAAAAAAAAAAGAAAAAAAAATGTTAAAAGGAAAAAAAAAAATGAAAAAAATCTTTAAGAAATCACATGGCTATTTAGTTTCATGCACAGTTGCAATATTTTCTTCAAAAATAAAACTCTGTACAAACTTTGGGCCCGATTCATAAGAAAAAGGAGTTTGCTATTAACACGGGATTTTTTTTTAAATATACTTTTTTTTTGGTCTAAATTTGAAACTACTTGCTTCCCAAATTAAACCAGTTTCATCTCATCTTTTTTCCCCCTAAACCAGCACCCATCTGCCTTTTATGCCCCCAGAGGGTTACATAACCAGATGAGGGGAATGGGGACATGGGGAGTAGGTACTGGAAATGCTCGGAAAGATAGGGGACCACCTGCCATTGAGCGCACCAGAGCGGGGAGGCAGCAGTGTGTGGGGGCAGGACCTCGCCTGTGTGCCAGGCATCCCGAGTTTCACATGCAGCCTCCTTATGCGATTTAATTCAAAAAACTCCAATTTCCAAAATGTGTCTGGGCCACGGGAATATATATATGGTGGAAGTGCCACCTCGAATCCAACCAGAGCACCTTCATGGTAGAAAACACTCACCAGGTCGTGC